GGGCACAGGTGGTGCATCAGCCAGTCGTCGTGGCACCGATGACTGGTACCAGCGGTGTCAAGATCGGCCTCAGTGGAGGAGGCTCGTGAAGGACGCTACTGGCAGTCGGAGGCAGTCGCCCTCCAACAACAACGGAGGGCGGAGGAGCGACGCTCACAACAACGAGCGGAGCGCCGGGTGGCTAAAGCACAGCAAGTTGGCACAGTAGGGGCACAGGTGGTGCATCAGCCAGTCATCTCGGTCATCTCGGTCAGTCGACCCGTGGCACCTGCTGGGTCTGCCCCGTGACCTCCTGCCAGCGGGCGTTCGACACTTCACGTGGCAGCCTCAAGGTGCACATGGCCTGGCACAAGCGTCGTGGCCTACTGTGCAACTTGCTGTGCTTTAGCCACCCGGCGCTCTGAGATGACTGAGATTGACTGAGATGACCGAGATGACCGAGACGACTGGCTGATGCACCACCTGTGCCCCCTACTGTGCCAACTTGCTGTGCTTTAGCCACCCGGCGCTCTGAGATGACCTGAGATGACCGAGATGACTGGCTGATGCACCACCTGTGCCCCCTACTGTGCCAACTTGCTGTGCTTTAGCCACCCGGCCTGAGATGACTGAGATGACTGAGATGACGAGATGACCGAGATGGACGACTGGCTGATGCACCACCTGTGCCCCCTACTGTGCCAACTTGCTGTGCTTTAGCCACCCGGCGCTCTGAGATGACTGAGATGACTGGCTGATGCACCACCTGTGCCCCCTACTGTGCCAACTTGCTGTGCTTTAGCCACCCGGCGCTCACACGCACGCAGATATACACAAACAGATACGGCATTAAAAGACGCACCTACAACATTGTATTACAATACAGAGGGATGGGGCCATTTGTATCTTTTCTTAGGGAGTTGCAGGTGGCAGCGGCTGGAGTGTCACCCGTTTGCCCACACCTCGATGGAGCAAAGCGCCGCTCGCCATCATGAAAGAACTCCCTCCGTGGATTACGGACTGGATGAGGTGAGCCATTTCTCACTTGACTTCCACTCGTGAATCCAAGTGGCTTCGCTTGAATGCAGCGGTTCTTTACCGTCACCGCAGCCTTGCGCCCCTGTGGTTTGAAATTCGTAATTTTTGTCTCGTGTCAATAAACACATAGGGGTTCAATCTTAATTTTGGAGCTTTCGTGACTGCGGGAATTATTCTTTGGTTCTTTCGGTGAAGTCACGTCTAGAGATAAAATAATAATAAAATAATAATATAATATAATAAAATAATAATGTAATAATATAATATCACTTCCCTTCTACGTGACTTTACCGAAAGAACCAAGAAGATGAATCCCTGCAGTCACGAAAGCTTTAAATCGAAAAATAAAATAATAAATTAAATAATAGCATACTACGACGTTTCGATTGCAACACAAGCAATCATCATCATCAGGCATAAAAGAAATAGCAACAAAAATCTAACTAGAAAACTATAGACAGACATACAAGCAGACAGACATCCTCTCCTCTGTGTGTCCTTGTGATGTCTGTCTGCTTGTGTGTCTGTCTATAGTTTTCTAGTTAGATTTTTGTTGCTATTTCTTTTATGCCCGATGATGATGATTGCTTGTGTTGCAATCGAAACGTTGTAATATGCTATTATTTAATTATTACTTTATCTTTAGACGTGACTTACCGAAAGAACCAAAGAATAAAACACATAGGGGTTGATGAAACAAAGTGCTTCGATGATTTAACCTTCTACAAAATCCGGCCACGTCTTGGCAAGAAAGATAATCTCGTATCCCCCAGGGGGGCGCATCTACCCCAGGCGAAGAATGACCACTGGTACTAACAGGGAGGGTTTCCACATTTTTATCTGCCAACAAAACTGACACCTTTTGCAAGGAATCATGTCTACATTAAACACAATGCCTGCAGTCAAATGCAAACAAAAAACAACACTCTGATCATTAATGTATGCATTGTTTTTGAAACTGATTGGTCCACACCAGAGGCAGCTTTCTTTAGAGCCTAGTCTCATATGGTGTTCGACCAGATGACGCCAAAAGGCGTTACACAGTTCAAAGACAACGCACCATCAGAGTAACGAGAGCTCGGGGTGAGCAGCTACATCATGGGACCTCCTTTGCCAGTACCAACATATACTCATAGGGGTTTTCCCATTTTTTCTGGCAAAACTGACACCTTTTGCAAGGAATCATGTCTACATTAACCACAATAGTTGCAGTCAAATGCAAACAAAAAACAATACTCTGATCATTAATGTATGCATTGTTTTTGAAACTGATTGGTCCACACCAGAGGCAGCTTTCTTTAGAGCCTAGTCTCATATGGTGTTCGACCAGATGACGCCAAAAGGCGTTACACAGTTCAAGACAACAAACACCATCAGAGTAATGAGAGCTCGGGGTAGAGCAGCTACATCATGGGACCTCCTTTGCCAGTACCAACATATACTCATAGGGGTTTTACCATTTTTTCTGGCAAAACTGACACCTTTTGCAAGGAATCATGTTTACATTAAACACAATAGTTGCAGTCAAATGCAAACAAAAAACAATACTCTGATCATTAATTTATGCATTGTCCTTGAAACCGATTGGTCCACACCAGAGACAGCTTTCTTTAGAGCCTAGTCTCATATGGTGTTCGACCAGACGACGCCAAAAGGCGTTACACAGTTCAAAGACAACAAACACCACCAGAGTAACGAGAGCTCGGGGTGAGCAGCTACATCATGGGACCTCCTTTGCCAGTACCAACATATACTCATAGGGGTTTTACCCTTTTTTCTGGCAAAACTGACACCTTTTGCAAGGACTCACGCTCACATTAACCACAATAGTTGCAGTCAAATGCAAACAAAAAACAATACTCTGATAATTTATGCATTGGCGTCATCTGGTCGAACACCATATGAGACTAGGCTCCAAAGAAAGCTGTCTCTGGTGTGGACCAATCATTTGCAAGGACAACGCATACATTATCAGAGTGTTGTGTTTTTTGTTTGCATTTGACTGCAAGTATTGTGGTTAATGTTTTTTTAGTTTACATTTTACCGTGCAATACAGTATTGTAATTAATACGTACACACAGTATATAGTTTATACAGTACGGTATTGTAAATTGCTCTGTGTTGCTAAATTATCACCGTTCTTTAAGACTCCTGGGTAGGCTATAGGCCATCTTCGACTTACGAAATTTTCGACTTACGATGGGGTCATCGTAACGCATCTCCGTCGTAAGTCGGGGACTGTCTGTGCATGTTGTTATAGTGAGAGTCGTAAGTGGGACTGTCTGTGCATGTTGTTATAGTGAGAGTCGTAAGTAGGGGACTGTCTGTGCATGTTGTTATAGTGAGAGTCGTAAGTCGGGGACTGTCTGTGCGTGTTGTTATAGTGAGAGTCGTAAGTCGGGGACTGTCTGTGCGTGTTGTTATAGTGAGAGTCGTAAGTCGGGGACTGTCTGTGCATGTTGTTATAGTGAGAGTCGTAAGTCGGGGACTGTCTGTGCGTGTTGTTATAGTGAGAGTCGTAAGTCGGGGACTGTCTGTGCATGTTGTTATAGTGAGAGTCGTAAGTCGGGGACTGTCTGTGCGTGTTGTTATAGTGAGAGTCGTAAGTCGGGGACTGTCTGTGCGTGTTGTTATAGTGAGAGTCGTAAGTCGGGGACTGTCTGTGCGTGTTGTTATAGTGAGAGTCGTAAGTCGGGGACTGTCTGTGCATGTTGTTATAGTGAGAGTCGTAAGTCGGGGACTGTCTGTGCGTGTTGTTATAGTGAGAGTCGTAAGTCGGGGACTGTCTGTGCATGTTGTTATAGTGAGAGTCGTAAGTCGGGGACTGTCTGTGCATGTTGTTATAGTGAGAGTCGTAAGTCGGGGACTGTCTGTGCATGTTGTTATAGTGAGAGTCGTAAGTCGGGGACTGTCTGTGCATGTTGTTATAGTGAGAGTCGTAAGTCGGGGACTGTCTGTGCATGTTGTTATAGTGAGAGTCGTAAGTCGGGGACTGTCTGTGCATGTTGTTATAGTGAGAGTCGTAAGTCGGGGACTGTCTGTGCATGTTGTTATAGTGAGAGTCGTAAGTCGGGGACTGTCTGTGCATGTTGTTATAGTGAGAGTCGTAAGTCGGGGACTGTCTGTGCATGTTGTTATAGTGAGAGTCGTAAGTCGGGGACTGTCTGTGCGTGTTGTTATAGTGAGAGTCGTAAGTCGGGGACTGTCTGTGCGTGTTGTTATAGTGAGAGTCGTAAGTAGGGGACTGTCTGTGCATGTTGTTATAGTGAGAGTCGTAAGTCGGGGACTGTCTGTGCATGTTGTTATAGTGAGAGTCGTAAGTCGGGGACTGTCTGTGCATGTTGTTATAGTGAGAGTCGTAAGTCGGGGACTGTCTGTGCATGTTGTTATAGTGAGAGTCGTAAGTCGGGGACTGCCTGTGCATGTTGTTATAGTGAGAGTCGTAAGTCGGGGACTGTCTGTGCATGTTGTTATAGTGAGAGTCGTAAGTCGGGGACTGTCTGTGCATGTTGTTATAGTGAGAGTCGTAAGTCGGGGACTGTCTGTGCATGTTGTTGTAGTGAGAGTCGTAAGTCGGGGACTGTCTGTGCATGTTGTTATAGTGAGAGTCGTAAGTCGGGGACTGTCTGTGCGTGTTGTTATAGTGAGAGTCGTAAGTCGGGGACTGTCTGTGCATGTTGTTATAGTGAGAGTCGTAAGTCGGGGACTGTCTGTGCATGTTGTTATAGTGAGAGTCGTAAGTCGGGGACTGTCTGTGCATGTTGTTATAGTGAGAGTCGTAAGTCGGGGACTGTCTGTGCGTGTTGTTATAGTGAGAGTCGTAAGTCGGGGACTGTCTGTGCATGTTGTTATAGTGAGAGTCGTAAGTCGGGGACTGTCTGTGCATGTTGTTATAGTGAGAGTCGTAAGTCGGGGACTGTCTGTGCGTGTTGTTGTAGTGAGAGTCGTAAGTCGGGGACTGTCTGTGCATGTTGTTATAGTGAGAGTCGTAAGTCGGGGACTGTCTGTGCATGTTGTTATAGTGAGAGTCGTAAGTCGGGGACTGTCTGTGCGTGTTGTTATAGTGAGAGTCGTAAGTCGGGGACTGTCTGTGCATGTTGTTATAGTGAGAGTCGTAAGTCGGGGACTGTCTGTGCATGTTGTTATAGTGAGAGTCGTAAGTCGGGGACTGTCTGTGCATGTTGTTATAGTGAGAGTCGTAAGTCGGGGACTGTCTGTGCATGTTGTTATAGTGAGAGTCGTAAGTCGGGGACTGTCTGTGCATGTTGTTATAGTGAGAGTCGTAAGTCGGGGACTGTCTGTGCATGTTGTTATAGTGAGAGTCGTAAGTCGGGGACTGTCTGTGCATGTTGTTATAGTGAGAGTCGTAAGTCGGGGACTGTCTGTGCATGTTGTTATAGTGAGAGTCGTAAGTCGGGGACTGTCTGTGCATGTTGTTATAGTGAGAGTCGTAAGTCGGGGACTGTCTGTGCATGTTGTTATAGTGAGAGTCGTAAGTCGGGGACTGTCTGTGCATGTTGTTATAGTGAGAGTCGTAAGTCGGGGACTGTCTGTGCGTGTTGTTATAGTGAGAGTCGTAAGTCGGGGACTGTCTGTGCATGTTGTTATAGTGAGAGTCGTAAGTAGGGGACTGTCTGTGCATGTTGTTATAGTGAGAGTCGTAAGTCGGGGACTGTCTGTGCATGTTGTTATAGTGAGAGTCGTAAGTCGGGGACTGTCTGTGCATGTTGTTATAGTGAGAGTCGTAAGTCGGGGACTGCCTGTACACACCGTTGTTATCATATCACGTGGAAAATCGCATGAGCTGCGAGCGTTCCATTCGCAAGGGTGTCCCAGGGGTGACACCAAGTAAGTTCGAAACGGCGGATTTACTTGAGATCGGTGTGAACTGGATCGTGACTTAAAGCTTTCGTCACTTCAGGAATCCATATTCTTTGGGTCTTTCGGTGAAGTCGGGTAGATAGAAAATACAATATAAAAATAATCAATTGAAAATGATTAAAGCAAAAAACCACGACGTTTCGATCGCAACGCATCAACATAATTTATGAATGTGTTCAGTTAGAAAATAACAATAAGTATAACCCGTAAAAACAAAGTTTTTCACTCTAAATCCTTTATATGCGTGGCGGCTAGAGTCCTCTCGTCCTCTGGCTTGAGATGGCTGCCACCTATGGGTCAGATGATTGCTGCCACCATTAAGCAATTGGTAATTAAATATTTAATTTGTTTTCCCTAAACAGTGTAAAATTTTGGAAAAAAATTTCACGAACATTAATTGTCACGCACAACGAGTCTGTGTGCAAAATGTCAGCTCGATTGGATCACGGGAAGTGGGTTAAAAAACGACCGAAAGATTTGCACGGTCGTAAGCAAGCAAGCCAAGCGAACTTAATATAAAGGATTTAAAAAAACGACGACGTTTTGACCGCAAGGCAAACGTCGCTTCCTGTCGACTTGAGCTCGATTGGCGGTGACGAGGCTGCGCTGTCTTCACAGGCGTCACAACAGACGAGGGGCGCCTACAAAGACGGCCCAAGAAGCACGCGACATGGGTACGTACGCAAGGGGTCTGTGGGCGCTGTGCGATCACACTCGTGGCTACTCGTGGCGGGCTAGACCTGGCCACGCGATACGGCGTCGTCATACGGGACGTCCCGTAACCCGCTGAAATGTGCGTACGTTTATTTGCGTGTAGTTTTTCTTATTTGCAGATGTTTTTATTTCCCTCCTGACCTTTCCCCCGTGTTCACAATCAACGTGTTTGGGTGTTAGATCGCCGCGTTATTTATAAATGTGTCGTAACCCTCCACCACCCGACACGGCCAATCGGTAAAAAAGTGTCACGTTGACAAAAGACAAATTAGTTCGCTGCTTTAGCCCCCACACCGGTGTGTGTTGAAGCGTGAAACCACAACGTTTACAATTTGAGTAGCGCTGTGACGTTTCGCTGGTAATTGCACCAGCATCATCATCGGGCAATTCGGCAGAATGTTGAGCAGCAGCAGCAGCAGGTGACGTCATCACTAACTAGTGATGACGTCACCCTGCTGCTTGTATAGAGCAGCAGCAGCAGCAGGGTGACGTCATCACTAACTAGTGATGACGTCACCCTGCTGCTTATATAGAGCAGCAGCAGCAGGGTGACGTCATCACTTAACTAGTGATGACGTCACCCTGCTGCTTATATAGAGCAGCAGCAGCAGCAGGGTGACGTCATCACTAACTAGTGATGACGTCACCCTGCTGCTTATATAGTGACGTCATCATTGACTCATTAACTAGTGATGACGTCACCGCGCTGCTTATATAGTGACGTCATCATTAACTCCTCATCAGGTGCAACGATGTGAGGCGGTGTTATTGTAATTATATACTCGATTAAACTTTGCCCCGTATCTTTATGCCGATCGTCATTGGTGGCGACAGCTGTTCGCGTGCCGAACGACCGAAGCTGTTCCGTGATTTTCGTGTTTGATCGCGTAAATATGCGCGCGTCGTTAAACGCGCCACCGCCCAATACAGCCGAGCGGGAAGGTTTGCCACGTAGTGAAAGCGCGCCAACTCGTTACTAGTTCAGCGCACTGGTGTGTGGAGAGTCAGCTCACAACATTTACAATTCGAACAGCTGTGACGTTTCGCCGGTAACCCAACCATAACCCGCCAATACAGCCGAGTGGGAAGGTTTGCCACGTAGTGAAAGCGCGCCAACTCGTTACTAGTTCAGCGCACTGGTGTGTCGGAGAGTCAGCTCACAACATTTACGATTCGAGTAGCTGTGACGTTTCGCCGGTAATCACAACACCCGGCACCATCAGGCGACAGCCGCAGAGTCGTGGAGAAATCCTCCTCGTGTTTCGGTCTCAAATAGAGGGGATCAGTGTGACGTCGTCACTTGTGTGGGCCAATCCGGTGCGAAGACCAGAGGTGTGGGAGGGTTAATGCGTGTGTAGTGTTGTAAGGACGGACTTCTGGACTTCTTTATGGCACACACTGTTTATTATATTAACACACAGCCCCTATCGCACTAAGGGGGTATACGGTCCCCTCACCCGTTACCCTCAGAAGGTACAAGCCTCCGGACCTTGCAGGCTGTCTAATCTCCCTGCTCTCCCAGCGTCCTCTGGCTGGACCTAGGGCAGCGGTCGGGAACCTATGGCCGCGAGCCATACACATGGCTCTTCCGGTGACGGCATATGGCTCCCAGACAATTTTGAGTTGAAAAAAATAAAAAAAAATAAAAATCAGTTTGGAACTGATTTTAAAATACTTGTGATATTGCTTAATAATACCGTGTCATTTTAAAGTGAACAGAAATTAGTTTTGAAGATAAAATTTCTCGGGTCACGGGTCCCGTGAATTAATTTCAATTTCATTTTTTTACCTACGCGGTGACTTTACCGAAAGAACAAGAGTATGAATCCTTGCAGTCGCGAAAGCTTCTAGTCGGTTCCACGTGCTCACCGCTGAGGGCCGAGCGAGCTTGAACGTGTTGCCGTGTGGAATGAGAAAAGTTCGCGAGGCACCGGTCTGTCTCGAACTACGCCATGGCACCTATTCGACACCCGCGCGCAACATTTCTGCGTCGATCCAGCAACCGCGTTGCCACCACGGTGATGGATTACAGGCCACGCGCCTATCCACCACCACCACACCACCCGGTTATCAATATCACATCGCGAGCTGTTGATTGTTGGGAAATGGGTTACCTTGGGACATCATGTCGTCATCGTCATGTGCTGCCATGTACTCTTCTTGTGCTGCATCATCTCCTTCTGCTGCACAATCTCCTGCTACATCATCTCCTGCTGTTATGTCATCTCCTTCTGTTATGTCATCTTCTTCTGCTGCACAATCTTCTTGTGCTACACCATCTCCTGCTACATCATCTCCTGCTGTTATGTCATCTCCTTCTGTTATGTAATCTTCTTCTGCTGCACAATCTTCTTGTGCTACACCATCTCCTGCTACATCATCTCCTGCTGTTATGTCATCTCCTTCTGTTATGTCATCTCCTTCTGCTGCACAATCTTCTTGTGCTACACCATCTCCTGCTACATCATCTCCTGCTGTTATGTCATCTCCTTCTGTTATGTAATCTTCTTCTGCTGCACAATCTTCTTGTGCTACACCATCTCCTGCTACACCATCTCCTGCTACCATCCTACTCATCTCCTGCTACATCATCTCCTGCTACACCATCTCCTGCTACACCATCTTCTTGTGCTCGCCATCTCCTGCTGTTATGTCATCTCCTTCTGTTATGCATCTTCTCCTGCTGCACAATCTTCTTGTGCTGCACATCTTCTTGTGCTACACATCTCCTGCTACATCATCTCTCTCTGCTACACCATCTCCTGCTACACCATCTGCTTGTGCTGCTACGCCATCTGCTTGTGCTGCTGTGTGGTATTCCTGTGCTACATCATCTCCTTCTGCTACATCATCCTTCATCTCCTTCTGTTATGTCATCATCTTCTGTTATATAATCATCTTCTGTTATATAATCATCTTCTGTTATATAATCATCTTCTGTTATATAATCATCTTCTGTTATGTCATCATCTTCTGTTATATCATCTCCTCCTGCTACATCTCCTCCTGCTACATCTCCTCCTGCTACATCATCTCCTGCTACATCATCTCCTTCTGCTACGCCATCTGCTTGTGCTGCTGTGTGGTATTCCTGTGCTAATGTGCCATCTCCTCGTGGCGCAGATGTGGAAGGCGTGGCTTGAGAAGAAGATATTTTTCCTCTGGTGGAAGCAGATGACTTGGGACATCCAATTGATTCCTGAATATATAAACAAATAGACACATCGCGATAAACAACACAAGCAAACACCGTGACACACACATGCCATCTACCGTTTAGCGCGTCAGATGTGTCCATCGGTGATCGCTCGTAATCTTGTCTCGGCGTGTTACGGTCAAATTTCGATGTAAAGCTTCTTTCGTGACTGCAGGGATTCATCTTCTTGGTTCTTTCGGTAAAGTCACCACGTAGAAGGGAAGTAATAAAATAATAAAAATAAAACATAATAAATAATTCTCACGACGTTTCGGCCACAACGCAAGCAGCCGTCCTCAGGTGAAGAATGAGACACTGCCAAGCTTGGAGCTTATATATAAGCTGGGTTGGAGGTGGAAGAAGAGCGCCTTAACAAAAAAGAATGTGCATATCAAGCTTATATATAAGCTCCAAGCTTGGCAGTGTTCATTCTTCACCTGAAGACGGCTGCTTGCGTTGTGGCCGAAACGTCGTGAGAATTATTTTATTGTGTTTTATTTTTATTATTTTATTACTTCCCTTCTACGTGACGACTTTACCGAAAAAACCAAGAAGATGTTACGGTCGTTAAACGTCTCGCCTCGCTCGATTTCGAACTCAAGATTTCTCCGCCGTTAATTCTTCGCACCAAAGGACCCCCTCGCCAAACACCCCGCGGGCAAATCGGCTCGTAGCGACGCTCCCAAGAATGTAACGACGAGGGAGGATTTGAGTGCGTAGGGCCCCCTTGCTACACCGACTCCTGAGTAGCTTCAAGCGCCACTCATTGCATCTCGTCGCTGCCGTCGGCAGTCTGGCCAAGGGGCACCCCCACTGGCAGCTGTCCCTGTGTGGCACGAGGTGTACCACAGCACCGGCGAGCGAGCGGGAGGTCATTTGACAGTCTTCGATTTCATTCGAGGCTATTTTGAAACGAGGACCGACGGGGTGGGCCA